TATGACAACTATAGCCAACATCATACTCAATGTGCAAAAACTAAAAGCACTTCCCTTAAGATCAGGAGCAAGACAGGAATATCCACTTTCACTACTCTTATTCAACATAGTACTGGAAGTCCTAGCCACAGCGGTCAGACAAGAAGAAAAAAATAAAAGGCATCCAAATTGGAAAGGAGGAAGTAAAACTGTCATTACTCACAGATGACATGATATTGTACATAGAAAAGAACTGCTTGGATGTTTTGTGTTGAACGACTTGTTGAAGGACGGCCAGAGTGTTTAAGATCACTAATTGATCCAGTCTCCCTAAATTTTTTAATTAATCTCTTCACAGTTGATGAAGTTAAATCACTATTCCAACCATATTTTGCACGAAAATTGCGAACTGTAGCTGCCAAACCTTCATTATTTTTACAATATTGCTCAACAATGAAAACGTGTTGTTCTTTCGTGTAGCGCTCCATTTTTAATAACCCTGAACTGTCAGCTGTCACGCTATCTTTTTTTTCCGTTGGCAACACTTTACGGCACAAATGGTGTAAAATTCAAATCTTGCGTGAATTTTGGGACACCCTTTATAAAATTTGGTTACTTCTGGTTATCTCATTCAAAAACTCTGCAATTAATCTCACCTTCTGATTCATATTCACTTGCTTTCTGCTTCAAGTCCTCTATTACCAGGTGGCCACCCCTGTCCCGGACCCTGTTGCGTTCTGAAAGGTGATGTAAAATTTCTGTGGTCCGGGCATTGACCTCATATTGTAGAATAGGATGATCTCCAAATATCTTTTTCAACCACGCAGCAACCTAATCATGAAAAGGAAGACAAATACTTTAAGTCTTGTTTGTAATGGCACAAAGCAAGTATTACAAATAAGCGATCAGAAGCCAACAAAGTGCTTTCTATGAATATTCTGAAGTCCTGCTTACTTCACATCCTAACTTGTCTTTAAGAAGATACATACCAGATGTCAGGAAATAAGTGAGGAACCACAAGGAACAAAATTACCAGAAAACAATCCGTCCTTTCCCAAAGGAACAAAAGCGGCATATAGGCTAATAATTGGCATCACTCAAATAATTTAAAAGACCAATATGCATGTGCTAACTAAAGCATTCGTATCCATGCGAACTCTGAAAAAAAGAGTTGTCCACAATACACAAGCCGCACAGAGGCTCGTAGGGCTGGGATGTGGGACACGGAGGCAGGCCAGGAGTGTGTAAGGACAAAAAAAGACCTTTCCTTTTCTTTGCAATGGCCTTCCACGGTTTATGAGAAGTACCTGGTGATTAAACCCCAAGACTGTTGGCTCCTCTGATTCAAACAGCTCCTCGGTTCAAACTATGGGACAAGATAAGCTACTCTCAAGGCTACATTCTTGCATCCCCCTTCAGAAATCGAAATCCCATTTTGCCCCAGCTGGTTTGGCTCAGTGGGTAGAGCGTAGGCCTGTGGACTGAAGGGACGCGGGTTCGATTCCAGTCGGGGGCACATGCCCGGGTTGCAGGCTCGATCCCCAGTGGGGGGCGTGCAGAAGGCAGCCGATCCATTCTCTCATCATTGATGTTTCTATCTCTCTCCCTTATTTTCTACAATCAATAAAAATATATATTTTTTTAAAAAGAAGTCCCACTTCAGTCTGCTGGGAGGGATTTTGTACCCGGGGGCTCCTCACCTCCCCTTCAAGCCCAAGACTAAGCAGGGGAGGGAAGGGAAAGGCCCTTTCCAGGGCGGCCCAAGTAGAAAGGGGAATCAAAGAGCATGAAGGCGGGACTGAAGATGGGCCCCCGGACTAGGTAAGTAAACCTGGCAGGAGATCCGCCCGGCGGGCGGGTGTGTCAAAGACTCCGCTTCTAGGACGCAGCAAAGGCCCGCTCCCGCCCCATCACCTGCGCCTCTTTCTCCTCCGGCGCTTCCATAACGGCCGCTCCCGCCACTTCTGGAGCAGATCCTCGCGGGAGAATTGCCGAGCTCGCTCTGAAGGCCCCGCCCACACGCCGTGGGTCCGGCCCCTTAGGGCCCGGGACTTCTGGGAGTTGTAGTTTTCACCAGGACTCCAGGCTGCTGCCGGGCTCCAGCACTGCAAGCCTCTCCCTGCTGGCCACCTCGCCTCGCCCTCCGCCCTCCATGGTATAATCTACAGGACGAGAATAGAATCGCATAGAGCCACGCTGTGTTTTCTTACATTTTGATTACTAACTTGATTGCTTGTCTTAAAAAAAATACCTGAAACTTGTTTTTTGGATAGCAGATGTTTGTGGGCACTAGCTTAAACTTTTAATTTTAACCCGGCATTATAAACTGCAGCAACCTTGGTTTTACCCGTTAATCTCCATTACCAAAGAGCTAAATGTGCTGGAGACTTTTAAAATAAATAGCTGACATTCCTGGCCGGTGTGGCTCAGTTGTTTGGAGCGTCCTTCCTTGCACCAGAAGATGGCAGGTTCCATTCGGGTCAGGGCATATACCAGTTCCCGGGCCGGTGGGGCACATACGAAAGGCAGCCAATCGATGTTTCTCTCCCCCCACCCTCTATAAAAATCAATGAAAATATGTCCCTGGGTGAGGATTAAAAAATAAATAAGATAAAAATAAAATTGTTGACAGCATTCAACTGCTAGCGCTGCCACTCTTCCATGTCAAGTTCTCTCCTCCCTCCGTGATTGTGGTTAACACTGTGAGTGATTCTTGATACTGCTACTGCAATGTATACTTTTCTATAAGATTTATTATTTTTCTTCATTGTTATAGGAACCCTGTAAATTAGACACACGTTATTTTACATATTTCCACATTAAAACCACACGCACACAGGCCTCCCCTGAGCTTGTCAAGTTTAGTATGTGGCCCCTCTGTCGTCCACAGGGTGCTTGTCAAAATTCAGAGCCCAACATGTTTGACACAGAGGGTCTGGAGTGGGGCCCCACTGATCTGAGAATCACCTCTTTCTGCAGAAAACGGTTTCGTAGCGACAGCCTCCGACCTGACACCTCCAACCCGCCTCACGGTCAGCCTGCCCGCCGCGCCCTCGGACGGGGGTCAGCACCACCTGTTTCCGGAATCTGGCCAGGGAACCGCTTCACCACTGGTTCCGCTACCCACGTGGTCGCCCCGGGCAGTCACAAGGTCAACTGGAAAGACCATAGTAAATGTGTCAGCAATGCCCGCGCGGACGCTGGCAAGGTCTAATCATTCCTTTTGAAATTTACATCCGAAAGTAATACCTAAAAAAAAAAAAACAAGTAACCACCCCCACCTCGCGAAAGGCAGATTTGCATCCGGAAGGTGAAAGCGAGGGGCGGTACTTCCGGGTCAGGTGGGCTGGCTGCCTTGACCTTCCTCGCCGTTCAGCCATTTTGTCCCAGTCAGTCCGAGGCTGCGGCTGCAGAGCAACTTCGAGGAGCTGCAAAGATGC